AAGCTCTAATAGCACTTTACAGAGAAGTAGAAGAGATATCCCATGGAGTTTACCATGAAATTTGTAATTTAGAAATTACAGAAATTAGAGGAAAAGCAGAAATTATTCACCTTTACAATGCTATAAATCCTGAAAAGAAACATCCTTTACCCTGTGTACTGGAAAACATCCTCAAGCCTGAGAAGATTTACCTTTCTGTCTTATTGCCATTTGAGTAAACTGGGGATGAGATTCCAGCAAACTAGTAGTCAGCAAGCCTTTAGTGCCTAAAAATATCCCCTTAAAAATACTTTTGTGACATATTTGAACAAAACGAACCCTGTATCCTTTCTCCTGCATCACTACCACAAAGACTTTGGTCCTATATGACCAGACAGGGCAGGAGGCACAGGGTGGCTGGAGGCATCGCTGCTGCATGGGGAGCATTGCCCCTGCAAGGTGGCATGGAGATGCAGGCTGCATTTCAGGCCATAAATCTGAGCTGGGTATGGTATAAATAATTTGCCATCCCAAGATGCAAGTTGGAGAGATAAGGAATACTGTCTAGTGGTGAAAGCAGGGGACCAAGTCACAGCCCTCACAGATTCTGCTGCGAGATCTGCAACAGCTTAACAGCCTGTATTTGAGATCTTAGCCAGGAATGTAAAGAAAATTTATCTCTGAAAAAAAAAAAAAAAAAAAAAGCAAGCAAATAGGATGTTTGTAGTTCCTTTTTTTTTTTTTTTTTTTTTTTTTTTTTAAGTATTACATACCATATCTGCCTTTTTTTTTAAAGTAACATTGTTTTCACTGGTGCCAGTCATACAAATACAGTGGTTCAAGGGGTCACTGGCCGCCCCCCAGCCAAACCAGGGTATTCCTGTTTTCCAAGTGCGTGAGAAGAAATCCTACCAGTAAGTCTGGCCACAGCTCTGACATGCAGCTCAGCCCTCTAAACCTCCAGGTGATGCCTCCATTGCTGGCAGTGATGTGTGGTGCAGAATCAACCCAGCCTGACTGCCCTGGGACACCATGAGTTCCTGAAGTTACCAGTAAACCAACAAGCACTGTATGGAAATCAGTTGTACTGGGCATGCATCCCCTAACACTTTATCCAGTCACTCTAAAGGCACTTGATTTCACTCAGCTACACCATACAGATAATAACCTCTTTAGGGAATACTACTTAAGCCAAGAAAGTAATGTTTGAAGTCTTTTGAGATCTTCAGCTGGAAATTCCCATAGAAAGTAAAAACAAGCACACAATGTTTACAGTCACAAGCCCATATGACCGATTTAAACTGTGGTTTAAACTTATGCTGATTTAAACTGGTAAACAAAGAGCTGTGACAGTAGTTTATTCTTCAGTAAAACTCAGTCCACATTAAGACTGGAGCACAGCAGTTACTTGGCTCCTTCACTAAGCTCAACGTAGTGAAAAAGGAGATTTTTTTCAAAGACTTTTAATGGAGATGACATGCAGTTATCTGAGATGGAAGTTGGGTAGGTCAACCTGAATAACTCTCCTGAGGAGTGTTGCAGGGTCTTTGAATGATACGATCTTGATTTTTTTCTTTCTTATAAGCCCTAAAATGAAGAGATGATGCAAAATGCCTGCATACCATAAACAAGAACAGTTAACCAAGGGTGCATAATGTTAGGAAAAACAAAGAAAATCAAGGGCAGGATTCCAAATCGTAGATTACCTCTGATGCACAATAGATAAATGATGAATGATAGATCAGAAATACATTTTTGCAGGAGGCATTGCTAGGAGGAAGGGAAGGCCTTAGGGCTGGACACCATGACCACATCCTTCTTCCACTGGTCTTCTACAAGAAGCTGCTTCAGAACTTAATTTCTTTGGCATCCATGTATTTTTAATACTAGGAGCAATTTTCTGTGGCCTTGTCTGAAGGTTCTGCACACAGAACACATTCATCTATATGAATGAAGCCACTAAACAAGCATCTTCTTGTAATCTTCTTAGTAGTCCTTTTATTTTTAATGTAGCATGTCCCAGGGATCCTGACAAATAAGTGTGTAGTTTCTGTGGGTCTGTTGGATGTGCTGAGACAAACAGGAAGATTTAAGACCTCACTTGACCACAAATGCACAAAAGTGCACACAGATGCCCATATACTCAAGCGCACATGGAAAAAGCTTATGTTTGGGTCAGAGTGTGTAACTGCATACATTTTTTCATGTACATTTTTGTGGGAACATTTTAGGACTCAAGTTTGGAAAATTCCACCACTTAATGTTGCACACTGTATTACTGCTATGATCTCAGCTCTAGGCTGGATTTTATACTAGTTGCACTCGATGCTCTGAAATCTTGACAGGCTCTTTGGTGACATCAGCTATCTTTTTTTTTCTTTTTTCTTTTTTTTTTTCATCACACATTTGTTAACTGGTAAACCTGAAACTCGCTTTGTGGTTTCCAGTCTAGACTTCAATTTGCAGTAGCTTTATCAGCAGTTTTCTTGGTGTCATCTTCACAAAAAATGTATAAAATACTCTGCATTTACTTCAGTTCGACTTCTAGTATGTCTTGTCTTCCAAAAGATATTTTAAAATTATTTGCTCAAGTAAATGTATCTTATACTGATTACATATGACTTAAAAAGATCTTCTGTTTTAGCTTTCACGGGAAATTCTAGCCTCCAAATCCATTCTGAGCTTTTCAGGCTCAAGAGTAAAGCTTTAATTTGATACTTACACACAAATTTCCTCATGAGAACCTGTTGTTCCCAAGTGATAACCTGGCTCTGCTGGCATGTATTGGCACATTTGGCAGAGGAGGTGTGTTAGGATTAGAAAGTATGGATGCAGAGACCCTTCTCATCATTAGTGCCTGAATCAGATATAAATTTATATTTTAGAATATAAATATTCTAAAAATAGAATTTATTACCTACAGAAACCATGCATAGATGATAGAGAGCTGTGGGGACAGAGAGTTCATGCCCCACTGGCAGAAGAAGCTCATACCACTTCTTCAAAGACAAAACTGATCTCTTCTTCAGGATAAGAAATTCCTACATAAATCTACACATGAGTTTCAGAAGCTCATTTTAAGTAAGGGATGTATGAAGAAAAAAATATATATTTTTTGCAATTAAAAAAAAAATCTTACATTTTTAAAAACACAGAATGAATGCTTCTTGTTTTCTGAAGAGCCATATTTCTTGAAAACCCTGGAGCTGTTGCAAGAGCTGCACAAACCATTTTTGGTTAGCTGCTGCATTGGTAATTTGTACTGTACAGGACGGAGAGTGATGCAGCAGCACTGAGGACTTGGAAGTTGAGCATACAGTAGCATTGCCATGTAGTTGAGAGACGCTTATTAATAGAGAGCTTTGCAGCATGAAGAAACTACATAAAGTATTGTCAGACTGTCTCCACGTGCTTTGCAGATAGCATACTTTCCAGCCGTTCACTCCTGGCACACACAATTGTGCTAACATGCAATGTGCAAAACTTTTTTTTTTTTTTTTTTAAATAGCAAGAGTGCATCTGGGATATAGAAAAACCTAGCACTGTTCTGCCTGTGTGAAGAATGCTTTAAAGACAAATTAAAACAAAACAAAACAGAAACACAACAATTTTTATGAAAGTCTGATAAATGCCAATGTATTCAGCTTTACTAAGCCCAAGTTTAGAACAAGACAGGAAATAATGGTGGATTTACTATGATCTAACTGAAGTGGAATTCCCTTGGAAAAGAATATGACTGATGAATTTTTTTTCATTTCAATCACTATTTCTAAAACTCTAGGTGAATTAATAGGATAGTTGGATGCTACTATGTTTTAAAAATTGAAACAAGATACTGGTGTTAGAAGAAGCCTAACAAATACAGATTACTTTCCACTAAAATGACAACACAAAGTGCATTTTTGAGATAAGACACAAACTCCCAGTCAAAACCAAAAGCAGACATACTGCAAACCCCCCAAAGGTATATTCAAATATTGCAAAATAGGAAATTACAGATTAATTTTCCACTTGGTCAATTAGCCCACAGCAGAAAGTCATACCTCCTAAGCTGCATTTTATGTCTTCCGCTTCTACAGAAAAAAACTGTCATCAGGAAATTCCTACGTGTTTAATTCAATTGTGTTTGGAAAAATACAATTTATTCTTAGCACATAAGTACCATATAAGGTTAGATCAGAGCACAGCATGGAGAATGCCTGATGAGTCTTATGCATTCAGATTTTTAATATGCATTCAAAAGGCTGGATTTAAAGGTCTTAAAACAAGCCACTAAAAATGTAGTGATAGTTTCCCACACTACTTAATTCACTGACCTCCATATCTGAAACTGGCAAAGTCCAGTATAAATACTACTAATCTGGTTGGGATCTAAAACTGCAGCCCTTACACCAGGATTTTCGACATTTTCAGACACTGAACAGAAAAGGGTTGAAGATGACAAAATCCTGTTTCTCAGAATTCTGCCTTCCCAGAACAAACCGTAACAGATGATATGTTGCTCAATGAGAGTCAGCCAACTTTAATTGACTTCTGGAAGCTGAATAATTTTTCTCCCTCTAGAACAATTCAAACAGGTATCTCCTCAAGGTTATCTTGTTTAAAAAATGATATCTGTGACAGTGGTATGTTGAATTTTTGCAAGACAAGCCTTGTCGGCTATGCTATGCACCACTCCAAAAAGCAAGCTGGGTGCCAGCTCCCTTCATGTTAGGGAATCTGAGTCACCAAAGCTTTCCAGATAATGAGCTGGAGATGTAAGTGGAAGGGAATTGCCACCTCCCTTCTTGGTGCCAGACTATTGTGCAATTAGCAGTGAAAAACATACACACCCACAGCAGCTGTGTAGCGCTGAGCTTATGGTTGCCCAAAGAGCTGCTTCAAGGCCCGAGCATTAAGTCTGGATTTCTGCAGTCCCAGACTGGATGGGATGTAAGTGGTCTAGATTGCCTGAAAGCTATGAACAGGCAATGGAAGTGCTTTGGTGGTGAGAAAGCTCCTGGTCAGAAGTCACCTCTTACCTTTAGCCACTGTTCCGCCTGCTCTTTGCTCTGTACTGCCAGAACCAGTGCGTCTGCTCCTTGGTGCGAGATTTTCAGCTCGTGCTTCTTCTTTTTGCTGTCTTTGGGGATGTATGTGATGCTGCAGTCATTCAGGAGCAGCTCCATTTGGGGCTGCTGGTCCTTGGAACTTTTGTAACACTGCAAAATGCAAAGGTCAAAAGTTAAATCTCACCTTTGTGACCTTTAGGGGAAAGCTGTTATTATATAGAAATGCTATTTTTAATATTTTCAACACAACTCTTTACCACATACCCCAGAGTTCAGCCAATGCTAACTTTGCATTTCTTTTCATCCTCTTTGTAAAGCAAAATTGGTTCCAGACGGACATTAATAGAGATCTTTTATTGCAGGTACAACATATGGAGGACATTTAAACTTCTTCTGTGTTATCTTTATGACTCAACCTTGAACTCCATCAGGTAGGATGAGGGTGCTTTTGGATATCTGTTCACATGTACCAGCAGTATACACTTGTACAGTTAACAACTTTCAAACCCAGATGCTTACCCTGGCCTCCAGCAACATTTCAGTATATCAAGGCAAACCTAGACCAGTGCTCACATGCTGCCTTCGCGAAAGAGCAGGCAGATGACTTATTCAGCTGTCCTTGTTGAGATAAGTAACAAAATTTGTTGCAGTCTGGACAGGGGAAAAAACACAGGACTGTAGTTTTTCAACTAATTTGGTTTAATCAGTTACTGCACAAAATCACATAAATGTTGGTTTACCCTTTAAGGTCCTGCCTAAAACTATGTGAATTATCCAGTGATTTTTCCCCAAGTAGAAAGTTCTGTCAGTGAACAGCCATTTTGTGCTGTATCAAAGATGACTAACTCTATTTTTGAACTGGTGATTTGAAGATGCAGGGTTTCACATTGCATCCTGTTGACCTAGTCCCATCCACTAACACATCAGTATAACTCATTTTTTTAAAGCTGTCACAGACTGCCAGACTACAGAGCAAGGTTTAACTGTGAGTATGAATGTCCAGTAATTTTATATACTAATGTAAATTGGGCTTTTACTGATACAAATAAGCATGAAGGCTAAAGCAGTATCTGATATTAAACATGGACTAGTATATGCATACATAGAATAGTTGAGTATAAATATGAACGGAGAAAGAACATGCAGACTTTTACATGTCTGAGCCAGTGTTCATGGCATGATGCAACTGTCAGGAGCACAGTAACTGTTAGAGGTTATAAACACTTCAACTTAGGCTGAACAAATAGAGCCACTCACTGCAAAACATTCATGATCTTCCTTTCCTCTCCAAGGGCAATTAACTCAAAATTTCTTGGTCATAGATTTAAAGTTTGCAACATTAAAAAACTTAAGTTTTCAAGCTATGAAACCTTGAAAACATATAGCATTAGTCACTTCAAGAAGCAATCAATAGCATATGTTTTCATTTAGATTTAATTAGAAATTTTATTTATAATTACACATTACTAAAAGTTAAGTGTTTATGTATAAGTGACTTTACATGAAAAACAATTCCCTACTAAGTGTTATTCTTAATGTCTAATTCAAATTAAAATATTTTATGATGACAGCTGCATTATTATGCAGGCAACCTCTAATCCCTAAGAACATTTATTTGTTTTACTTGCATATCTTGTAAGTTATATCTCCTTCAAACAATAAACAAATATTGTGTAATTTAGTCATTAGACTCCTACTGGGATTTTTATTTTCTTAATCCCCATTATAGAATTACTGAAAGACACTCTGCATAACGAGAAAAAAGCTTTTCAGAGCCCACGTGGCTAAAGGAAATGAAAAGAGAAAAAAATAACAGATTTCTATATAGAACAACAAACATAATTCTAGAAGAAATACTGTGTGACTTCTGAGAAAATCTGCTTCTTTCCATTTTTCTTTTCTTCTTTTTTCTCTTCAAGCTGTTATCTGATAGTCCTGAAATCTGACACAATTCTGGTATATGCTGATAAAAATGTGTGCTAAGGATAATGGCATTACAACAATATAATACAAAACAAATCATATTCAACATTCCTTTTATCACTTAAATAGAGCTGGATGCAAAAATTAAATCCTCTGTAACCATGGGAAACTAGAAATGAATTTCAACTATATTTTCAGAAACTTCTTACCCAGATATTGCTATCTCATACCCTGTTATTTCCATACACAGCCATAAGCATGAATGTACTTGTAAACAAACACACCTAAGCTGTCTTTTACTAGTATGGAATTATGAGGTTCTACAGAAAATGTTCTATCATCTGTTAACCAGCTTTTAATACTTGGGATATTACAGTAAATACTAGTTACATAAACAGCTATAACTGTTGCAAACACCAGATAGGAAGACAGGGAGTGTCTAAGACTCCAAACGATTTATTATGGTAAGCCTTAGGTTGCTTTTAATGTCACAGAAATGAATGTCTCCATTAATTAGACTCTTTTCAATAAACAAAAAGACTTCTATGAGCAGATAATTTACTAACTTTCAGAATCTCTTACTGGTGCCTGCAATTAGAAAGAAACATAACAGATTTGCTTAAGAGAATACATCCACTTGTTTCTTTCCTTTCTGTAATGCAGCTGTGCATCATGTGAATACTGCATCTGTAATTACTGCAGAACAGATGGTGTAGGTTTAGTTTAAAGTGTATACATTACAACAGCATATGCTGCCAAGTGAGTTCTCAGTCTAACAAGGGACTTTTCTCTCCAGCAGTCTGATCCAACAGTTCATACACAAAGCTCCCTATGAGATTTTTGGTCCACAGGGAATGAAAGATTGGATTTACAGTTTCAGCTTTTTTTTTTTTCAAATGAAATACAGTAGAAGCTAATAGGGTAGACTTTCTTTCCTATATCAGGGTACTGACCGGGTTTAAGTGCAATAAAAATCTGAGTAGCTACATGATACACTTATAATTACAGTGGTTCTCTGATTCTTGGGTAAATCATAACCGAAATCTTTGGTAAAGGTTACTGTAGATTTGGCCACTGTTTGCAGAACATATTCCAAAGCCTAAATTCCTATAAAAATAAATACATCATCTAAAAGGTAGAAAGAAAATACAGTCAGATAAAAATAAAAATTACCAGTAGTTTGTTTTCTTTGATAACACACAGTAGTTTGGTCCATTGCCCAAATCGTTTCTTTCTAAGCAGGAAGGCACAGATTTTGGCATCCTTCACCAGATCCATAGAGGCCTCCTCAGAAGGCCACTGATGTCTCATTTTCTTCCCCTTTCCATCCTCTTCCTCTTCATCATAGGATTCATAAGAGCTGCTCATGGCATCCGAGTCATAATCTTTAAGAAAAGGATTTTTACTCATAAAAGTGTCAAGTTAAAACATTTAGCCATGAAGTATAGTGAAATAATTGAAAAACTCAACGGGGTTACTTTTGAGTTAAGGCCTTTGTATGTCAGCCATCAACAAACTACTGTTTCAGTGCTTAGTAATATCACTACATTAAGTTAATTGAATAAAAGATGCAGTTCCATTATAAAATTTTACAAAAAACCTGTGATGATGCCTTGGGAATTTTAACTGAAAGAATGAGCTTGGAATAAATAGCTACAATTTTAGGTGGTGCTTCTCCATTCTCATGGAGAAGAAACAACTGGAATATTTTCAATAGCTGAGATTTCATCTAAATATTTCAAGGAAGAAAATCTCTTATTTGCTTTAGCTAGATATTTAGGACACAACTTGGGACACAAAGGAAACCTGCAGCAACTAGGAAGGGAACAAGAGATCAAATGGCTGGAGAGCTCATTCTGAAACAGTCCCTACCTACGTGCAGAGTCACAATGGGTTATACCTAGATATCTGCAACTACAAATCAAGCTTAAATATTCTGATACAATTTGTGGTTTCACAAAGCTTATATAGAATACTTTATCTTCATTTCAAATAGAATATATATATTTCAAGCTCATGAAACTTTTTTTGAAAATGAGTTGTTGTCTTCTGGTCAATTCTACTATGGAGGATTTGGCTTGGGGCAGATCCATGTGGGAAAGTGGTAAATGCCACAGATGATTATCATTAGGAAAATACAACATTTTTTTCACCTATTTTAGAAAAATCAAGGGACAGATGGAAAAATGTAGATTAGATGTTTAAACTGACAGATTTTAAAACATTTATTCCAGAGCATTTATTTTTTTTCATATTTGTTTAAAGGAATGCGTAAGATTTGGTAGAAGTCACCAGACTCTTCTAACTTTCTACCCAAAAAGCAGAAAAAACAAACAAACAAACAAACAAACAAAACGAAAACAAAAACAAAAACAAAAACAAAAACAAAAAAACAAAAAAAAAAACACCAAAACAAGAACCAAACCAAAATGTTCTCCCTCTGACCTCCTTTTGGAGTGGCTATCCACAAACATGCATACAGAAACATCAGGGAATGTTTGGCAGTTCATCGGCCAAACTCAAACACAGAGTAGAATGCCAACCTGTTTGGACTAGAGGAATAACTCTTCATGTGGTGTTACCAATTATGAAGATGTAAGATCTAGTCACTCATCATCTTTGGGAAGGCCCTCTTTCAAACGCATGAATGGGCTAACAGACAAACCTAGAGTTGCTCTCCCTCTGGGAACTGGTAGTCTTTCACATAAAGCATTTCATCTTTAACTTCACCCTCTGCCTTTCCAAGAAAAATAATACATAAGTGTCCAAACATAACTTCCTCATCTCTTTTTTGGATTTAGTAGTGAACTTTTGTTGCAGCTACACCGTCATAATGTTCATTTAATGTTTGCTCCCTTTCCACAACCATCGTTTACCTCACTTGTGATATTGTTCCACTTTTGGCAATAAGATTGTACTGAAACTTCAAAATTTGTAAAGGCTGACAAGAAGCAGAACAAGTTACTACTTGTATACAGAGATATGTTAATACTGTTCAGATAGTACTCTGCCAATATTATATACTACCAATTAAATGAAAAAATGCCACCAGAGTAGTATTACCATATCTCACTACATAAGATACTGTCTCTGCACGTGATATTATTGTGTATATGTTCAAGTAAATACACTCTTTGGGTCTTGTAGTGGTGGTGGTGGTGAGAAAGGAGAGACTTTGTAGGAAAAAAATGAAAAGGGTCTGACCAAAACGAAGCAGTTTTGCCTAATCAATAAGGTCTGATTGACTTTAACCATTTATATGTATTCTATTATGGTATGGAAGCCTCCTCGTTACTAATGATATTACAAAAAGACTCAGTGGGAATATTTACCGAAGTTAATTACATCTATGCCAACAGTTATTTAACAATTTATTATTGCAGTTCTTATACTTTTAACATTTCTTTGGAATGGTCTTTATCTCAATCAGTCTATAGGTTAATATAGTTATAATCTTAGGTTAATATAGTGCATTGTTGGGTTATTTTAATTACCACACACACTAGATTCAGTGGAAGTTTTGCTTGAACAGAGATAAATTGTTAATGGAATACTGAGTTTAAAAATAACTTCATTATGGATAAAGAAGAATGGGTGACTTTTAATGTAAATTTTAAAAGGTGATGAATTCAGGACATAAGAATATACATCAAAATCACAGCAGGGCAGATGATAAGTTACAATAGAAAAAAGCATTAGATATCTGGGTATATATATATACATTTATATTGCAGAATTACTAATGAACTTTTAAGACTGATATCTTAAATATTTTTATGGGTTTGGATTGTTAAGTACAATAAGACAGCAGTTTCATACTGTGCCATATTTTTTCCTAAGCAATCCTTTAGCAGTGCTATTAATATTTGTGCTACTAATGTTTTTCTGCCTGAGCATGGCTCATGTTTAATGACAAAACACAAGTCAGCGGTTCACAGGGTATAGCAGGACCACCCATCATGTCCACCCACCAAGGGAGGACATGAGGAGAGGAGTGATTCTGCTGCCCTGCTAAGTTCCTGTAATTACTTTGCATTATATAAAATTCTTTCTTACCTTCAATTTCCTAGGTAAATTAAGAGCTGCCAACTACCCTGGTTTGTTTTTTCATGTTTAGAGCTAATGCACAATGACAAATTTCCCTGCCACACAGTGTACAAATGAATAATTAATGTTCCAAGGTGACTTCTATGCATGTGTTTTAAAGACAGAGATACTATTTTGTTCATTTGCTCTGGTTCAAATAATAAAAACAGCTATAAAATGGGGGCTGATACTCCTTTAATACAAAAAACTAACTGTTAGTGATAAATCAGCCACACAGAAGTAATAAATTACCCCAGCCAATAAAAAAGAGCAGCAAAAGGAACATCTTTTCAATTTGTTAGTACATAGTGACAGTTAACTGGGATGACTGACCCTGTGTACATTCTCACAGCAGTCATTTCATCGTTTCATCAGTGTTCTCATCGTATCTCCTCTGAAGTGCAATCAGTCTTCGGATAACTAGTGGAATTTGGTGAAGAGTGTTTGTGTTGCAGAAGGAAGTTCTGGCATTTAGCTGGGAGACAACCCTTTGGCTTTTGCACTAAACGAGCAGTCATAGAATCATAGAATCATTCAGACTGGAAAAGACCTCTAAGATCATCTACTCCAACTTTTAACCTAGTACTGGCAAGTCCACCACTAAATCATGCCTCTAAGTTCTATATTTAGTCACTGTAATAGTGACACGTTCATCAAGCATGGCTTATGGGAGCTAGTATGAATGATTTATCCCTATCCAAAATACATCATCAGAAATGCTGCAGATCACATCCTGTCAATAATCACTCACTTCAGAAAAGTTTTTTTTTTTTTTCTTTCTACTTTGGCAAGTAATTCAGTGCAATAGGAACTTACCAGGAGATCTGCAGACCAACACCAAGTTCTAAGGCATCTACATTTACACTATTGGTAGGTTAGAGGGTTTTACTCCGGACAATACTTAACTCTGGATCCCTGGTAAAAACGTCCCCATCATATTCATGCTTCAAATATATCCAAAGGATTAATGGCTATATCAGACTCTCTGTCTCCAATAGCAGTCAAAACACATGTGCACCTCACTTGGAGCTCCAGGTTTAGTTTCCTCTAAAAGGAGCCTTGTTTGTACACACCAAAACAGCTGTGCACACTAAAACAACCTATGGCAGTGAGGACAATTAAACCACACATACGACACACTATGATGGCATTAAAAGAGATGTAGCTGTTGAACGCTAAAAAAAGCCGAAGGACACTAGAATTAGCATTTGTCCTGAAACTGATCTGTATACACTACTCACTGGAAGTGATGTACTCAGGAGCCTTCCCAGGACTAAGTGGCACTGCCTCTTCATAATAGCCTTCAGGAAGGGAAGATGTTGGTAATGGTGGAGGCCCATTATCTGGTGGCTAAAGGAAGAAAAAAAGGACAAAAAAAAATCAGAAAGCAATTAAAGGTGTTAAAATAAACATCGTTGAAACATCTGCTCATTATCAGTTTACAAGTAACACATATATACATATAGTCAGGACTAGCTGCTGGGTTTATATATATAACTATGTAACTATATCTTACTTTAACTATCTCTAAAGCCAAGGCTCTGGAGGAGTGAATTAGATGTTGACCTTTGAATAAGACATGAAGGGTAGCAGCATTTAGAAGGAAAAAAAAAAAAGCCTTAATCTCAAGCTCCTTTTATGACCTAAATCTCAAGCTCCTTTTATGATGCTATAATTAAACAGTAATAAGTAGAGGTTGAGATTTGTAGATGTGAAGTGACTTATTTATGCTTCAAAACATAATGATACACTTCACAACCTATCATTATTGCCAATCCCTTTACCTCTGTTCATGGAAAGAAAGCAGAACCTTCTTGCATGTACTTCAACTGATGTCCTTCAGGGATATAAATACTATACAATCTAACATGTTGAAAAGATATAGTTCTCTATTTAAGGACTACAAATGTAAAGGATCTATTTACCAAAGTGATTTACATACATAAGACATTTTATAGTGTTGAGGCTTATTTATTAGTATTCTATATCTAAAATAATTCATATTATAGTAGCAAGCATCACTTTGGTTGTACAGTTTAGAAAAGTTAAATAGCCTGATCTGGCAGAGATCAAGGATATATAACCTAGACCATGTTTTAATGATGCATTCTGTTTTTCAATGGCAAACCAATTCTTAATATAGATATTAATTTTTAAAATGTACCTCTACTTGGTGAAAACTGAGCTACACAAATGATGAATAGCTTGGAACATCAAGAAACTATTATATGATAAAATAAATATTTCAAATACCAGGTCAAATTCTGAAATGCTTCTTTTCTAAATATAAGCCTGTTTTAAATTTAAAACTGACCAACTACTGGTATGTTGATATAGTAAAAAAGTAAATTTAGTACTCAGACTTTTTCCATATGACTTTACTGTTCTATTTCTTTAGCAAGAACCAAAACAACTGCATTTTATAGAACACAGTCATATTTGCCATAAGTTTTTAGATCCATATATTCATATTGGAGGAAATACTTCAGTCTTTTTTCCAATACCAGTGGTTTATTGCATTATTACAAAAATGTAACTTGTAAGCAGAGTCTCATTTCTGCAGTAACAGTTTTTGAATACATCTTTGTCATGTAATGAAACAGCTGTAACGGTGTTTGTCTTCATTGGACCAATCCACTCAACATCAGGAAAACAGAGATATCTAAGTAAGAAATTAGTCACGTGGGCTTTACTTATGGACAAACGTTTCTAGAGCACAGTTCAGATCTCAGGTGGGCTGAATAGTCTAGGAGAGACATAAATCCTTTTTCCATGGAACATAGGTGAAGGCACAGTGACTATGTTCCTCTTTGGCTATAGGCCTATAATTACCTGAGAGGGACGTGAGCATTAATAACATGTGACACTGACTGTTTTGAAATTAGTTCCTTGGCACTTTCAGGGATGGATTCATCTTTCCACATTTCATAGCCAGACACCTAATTCTCAACTACTCAGCAAGATGAGTAGTACCAGTCTTAGAGCGCTCTGTAGTTACATTTATATGCAGTAGGTTATTCTGCCTCATGGGTACATGCTTATGAATTCCCAGTTGGCACAAAGGCAAGGAATAAATCTGTACTTCAGAGGATTGAGCACCAACTTGCCATTGAACACTAAGCTGTCCAGTAAAATCAAGAATTTCCATATGACTAATGAACTGATTTGTGCCTAAACACAAACATTCTTGGCTGGATTGACATTTACACTAATATTATTTCTATTTCAAATGATGTAGCAAACTTAGTATGTCACAGTCAATTACAGTTAAGAGACAGCATTTACTGTTATCTGCAGTGTGAACCAAATGAGTTTTCATCACAGACCAGTTTTGCTAGAGAAATTATCTGTCAAATAAGCAAAATGATGAAAAAATACAACTTTTACTGTAGATTCCTTGTGATTCTGCTAAAAAAACACAAATTGCAAATCTGCACATCATCACAAAATAAATGAGCCTTTCAAGGTTACCTGCTGCTGTGCAACAGGCATAAGGGACATTACATAATATTACATGTTAGTTAATACTGGAAAATTGACAGCACATTGTGAATTTTACCCTACACCCTACACACATAGTCAGGTCTGTGTGGCTAGAATTGTTGGGTGCAATAGGGAGAACTTCCTCAAAAGAGTATGCATTTTCTTCTTTCAGGCAGGTGGGCAGAGCCTTGCTCAACTGAGTCAGGGTCAAGGCTTATTCCTAGGGCAGTGCAGATTCATACCACCCCTTTCATAGGACAGATATATTAATATCTTGATCAAGCCTTAAACTATTTTCCCTGCCAGGTGTGTAGATGATATATGAAATTCCTATCATTATTAAACCTAATTCACCCAGGAAATACCCATCCTGAGAGTCATTCCAATTTTGACTTGACATAGCAACAAGGTTTCAAAGCTATCTTTTACCAGAAATAAATAAGAGGTTCCAATAAAGATCAGGAAAAAAAAATACTTGTTTTTAGACAAAATGTTATTCAGAAAGAAAGAAAAAAGGAAATGAAACACAAATGGTGCTTGTCTGAATTCGACCCTGCTGGAGCACCAGTTACTTCACGCAGCTGGGGCGGGCTGGGCTGTGCAGCCAATGTCAACACAGATGGAATCCATTGCTGAATTAACCAGCCCTTGGTTTTGAAATGCATTTTGCAGTGCTCACTATAACAAAGTTGAAAACAATTATAAAAAGATTTCATTTTCACCGAAAATAAATACATAAATAATATATATATATATATATATATAAGGAGAAACAGAAACATCCAAAATTGAATACTTTCTGATTAAAGCAGGCTGCTTTAATATTGAAAGAAAATCCAACAGATTAAATACAAAATAAAAATACCTCATTCAAATCTGTATCATAAACAGCTACATCTTCAGGGAGCTATGGAACACGTATATCTTTGAGCATCCAGAAATATAAAAAATACATGTGAGCATTTTGATATTACTTACTAATATTTACAGTGCTTTACTTATTTTACTATTGATAGTTGTATTGCCTAATGTTTTTAACCTGGCAGTTTTTCAGTGGAAGACCTGTGGTTAAGTTATGAATTATGAACTGGAATAATTCTTGATTGAATAATTTTTCATTAGTTTATCTGAAAATAAAAAGTCCATAAAAACACTAAACTATTTACATATCATATAAAAGGATTAAGTCTCAAAAAACAACAACAACAACAACAACAACAACAAAACAGCAACCACAGAACATGTGTAGTTTGAGTGGTATCAGGAGGAAAGACCTGGCAACCTGCAAAGAAAGCATTAGCAAAAATTTCTGCTTTTATTTTTTTACAACAGACCACAGGGAAGAAAATGAGAGAATGCTGCCTTTCAAGAACAAATACTCTTGTTCAATAACAGGAATAAGAACCGAGTTAGAAAAAAAAATACCGTTATTTTTTATATCACTGAAGGAAAAGGGACAAAAATGAGTTAGATATTGTTGCCCAGAATAACACCAGTGACACTGAAAAAACAGATAAAGATGTTTGACAGGAGCTGGGTCTGAGACAAAATGAGAGATGGTTTATTTGAAATGAAGACTCATCAGGGGTGATAATTATATTACAGAACTGAGATCTCTGAAGACAGTAAAGACTGGGTTGTTCCATGGATGCCCAAAAACAATTTACAGGAGAGATTGCTCAGAGAAAGAAAAAAATATCTCCAAATAAGCAATACTTACCTGGACATGAAAACTCACTATTCTACTGGATACTATGACACAGACTTAGTGGAAACATTAATTTTATGGTCTATTATGGTCTACCTCTCCACCTGCCCCTCTGTGTTCCACGGACCACAAATGAACTATTTCTTTCTTTATCCTAGGATAGATAATACTTCATTTCCCTCTTTTCCCTCTTCTGTCCAGGGGTTACCAAGGTAGGTAATAACTTTTTTTTTTTTTTTTTTTTTTTTAGGGATGGTCTATCTGATACCTGCTGAGGATATGCTAGCATATAATGTGAAAAGTTGTATAAAAGGCAGAGGAGAAGAAATGTCATCCTCCACAGTTTGAGGTTATAAAAGCACTTTACACCCCAATGAAGCCTTACACTATGTAGGAAATAGAAAGAAACACCTCTGTTCATGCAATGATTTAAGATGTGAAAGTTTACTGTGAAAAGCAGTGACTTTAACAGAGGAAAAGACTGTCAGTACACCCATGCTGGAGCCAAGGGCTGCCAGCAATTCCACAGCCATGCTCACACATGTGTTATTAGATCAGCCACCAGTTCAGATCCAGCTGGACTGTAGAGCCAGCTGCTACGTTACCCCTCAATGCTGCAAAGCAGCAACATGACACTGGAAGAGTGGTCACACACTGGTGATGCATAATGAAGCTATTCAGAAGGCAGCAGGCAAATGTGGGCTTTCAAGCGAAGTCTTTGACACATGCATGTGCCATTTGTGCCAGAGCAAGCTTCGAACTGACCTCCGTACAGCCCTGTGGCATCCTCAGCCTGGGAGGGGGAGGAGGGCTCATGCAATTATGATCCCGCTCCCCAGATGTAAAAAAAAAAGTGAATGTCCAGATGGCAAAACGAATTGAGAAATTGAGCACCAATACAATTGGCAAAATTCCTGACGGTACATTTCAACGAGGCTTCATCACACTGCAGTAAAGGCTGGAAATTGGGCATGAGTACTCACCACACACTTGGACTTGGTATGAAAGACTTTAGAAAAACTCAGAATCACTAAGGCACTAAAAATAAACTGGCTGTTAATTGCCAGCACTTGAGGACGTGGATGGACCATGGGTTTTTCAGGTCAAAAATGCTGACTACATGGGATATTAAGAGCATGTTGAGCTGTGCAGGAGTGAA